TACAGGCAATACCAAGTGGTGTCAGCTATATCAAGAATAATGATAATAATGATTATTACTGGTATCATTATTAATTTTTAGTTCAATTAAAGCATAGCAATGATAATAAAACTTATTGTTAATGTTACTATGCTTCTTACTCCATAACTCTCATTCATGAGATTAATATTAGCTTTATGCTCCAATAGTAGTTCAACTACTTGTGTATGTCCTTTCATGCAGGCATATTGAAGTGGCGTACACTAAATAATAATAATAATTAATAATAATTATTATAATATGCTACATTACTTTTCTTGTGTCAGTGCGATTGATGTCAACTCCACCATGGTTCAGTAATAGCTTAACTACATATGTATGCCCTTCTATGCAAGCCATATCAAGTGCTGTACGCTAATAGTAATAATAATAATGATAATAATAACATTATAATTGCAATATATATACTTTATCTTTATCAGCGAGATTGACATTAGCTTTATGCTCCAATAATAGTTGGACTACTTGTGTATGTCCTTTTAAACTGGCAATATGAAGTGCTGTACGCTACATAAAATTATTATATAAATAGGAATGATGATAATAATGATAATAATTACTATGTCTCTTACTTTATAAGTATCAACATGATTGATGTCACATTTAATAAGATTAAATTTTGCGGGATCCTTTTTATTTTCAGATGCAATAAGAAGTTGAATAATTTTTTCATTACCCTCCTCACAAGCATAAAAAAGTGGTGTGCGTCCATTGTTATCAGTAACATTGATATCCACTGCTTCATAGCATAACAATTTATCAACCTCTTCATAGTTACTGTCCATACATGCTCTGTGAAGTGGTGTGCAACCATTTTTATCTATAGAATTAACTGACTTTGAATGTGGTATTGTGTTTGTATTGTGAGACATTTTGACAGTTTGATGTTAAACAAATGCATATAATGATGATACAATAATACATTATGAATTAAGTATTACAAGAGTCTATGTAGAAGAATTTAAAGCATCAAAGGGGCATCCTAAGCAAAGATAAGCATTATGATTTAGCTGTTTTATCTATAAAGATATGCATGATCATCTTGTTCCTGATTTTATTTCTATTATAGTGCCTACAATTACTTCAATAGTATATCTACTGTAACTCACCATATTGTGTATACACATACTCTCAGGCTTACCCACAATAAGGGCTTATCACTTATTATAATCACAATTAGAGTAATACATTATTGCATTCGGAGTAACATTAGTCATATGAATGGTACTCTATGATTTTTCTCACTACACAAGTTTAACAGCCATACCAATTTTGCTTTTAGCAGAAGCATTAGAGGCACCAATTGCACCACCATTCAGACACTGTGAAATGAAGAGAGGAGAGAGAGAGAGAGAGAGAGAGAGAGAGAGAGAGAGAGAGAGAGAGAGAGGGAGAGGGAGAGAGAAAGAACAAGAGATGATGACTACTGAGTAACAAAACTTTATATTTAAGACTGTTGCTAGTTCATACTGACGTTGC